AGTTGTAACCAGAAATATTACTTAAGACTTCACAGCTTTTTGCTTCTTTTCTGTTTCCAAATTCAACCTCGGATGAATGGGTGGTGTAGGCAGCAGAGATGTACGATATTTCCCATTTCTATCATCTTCATTTAAACTCCTTTCCTTGTTCATCATTGCCTTCATCATCGAACTAAGTGTTTCAAATTTCTACTCCATCCCTAGAACAATCAAATCCATTCGTCTATCCCTTCCTGCCAGTTCTTCTTTGACCTGAAGTTGCATGTTCTTGACATCTTCCATTATTTTCTGCAACTTTAGTTCTTGCTTCTTGAGGTGATCTTCCAATGTCTTGAAGTGGGTACTTTATGCCATCTTAGTTTCTCGAGCTACCAAGGATCAGTTAGCTCTGATACCAGATTTTTCAGGACCCTAAATCCAGAGAAAAAAAACTTACAAATGAATGGAGAAAGAAAGAAAGGAACTAGAAAAGGTGGGAGAGTGAGGGAAAGAGAATAGAGAGAGGAAGTTAAGAATCAGTAATAAAGGGAACATGATTATTCTTTCTTGATTTCCAATCCACTGTACAATCTGGATTTTATACACTCTTGCAATGAATTCTCCGAAAACTGACTCACTCAGCTAACTAACTCTACAACTGTTTCTGCAACTTTCTAACAAACTTTAACTAACTTTCAAATTTGCTGGATATTGATACAAAGGCCCTTGTAACTTTGATTTTATTTCAATCACACCCCTGGACTTGATACAGGGATATAAATGAATCGAGCCGTTCGCAAGCAACTTGAGTCTAAGCTCGGTCAACATCGAGTTTGAGTCAAGCTCGAGTTCAAAGATATTCAACTCGTTAGCTCGTGAGCCAACTCGACTATACATTCTTTTATTTATTTATTTTAATATTAAAATTATATATATATTCCTAATATTTTGTTATTTGTTAAGAAAAACTATTATTTTATTTATTTTTTAAAAATAAAATAATTATTTTTTATTTTTTTAAATTTGAGTTTTACATTGAAAGATCGTCGAATTCGAGTTCAAGTTTTATAAAATTAAGTTGAGACTCAAATCCATTATGGCAAAACCTAACTCGACTCTGCTCGTTTACACTTCTAGTCACTCATTTCATTAGATCAAATGGCAAAATTTGATATGAGGGCCAATACATTGGGCGTTAAATTTGTTGCGGTATTAAAAGTTACATAATATTGTTAATGGCTCAAAAATGAACTATAACAATAAGTCAGAGGCCGACTAGGCAATGTATTCTTGACATTCCAAGTTTCCAATTAGTTGGACCTAGGCACTTGTAGTTGCTTCTATTTTCATATATTGCTTATATATACGGACTCGAACCATAGACCTTCTGGATAAAACAGATCAAACTTTTTATTATCAATATGATCAGAACTGTTTCAATGACCCAACATGCATTTTTTTTTTTTTTTTTTTGCATTTGGCTCTTTCATTAACTGATCGAAATATCGGTTAGTTTGCCATTTTTTTTTCTTTTGACAAAAAAATAAGATAAGATGATGGCTCTATGTGTTTTGATTTATTATTTTGGATTCTAATCCAAGAGCACTACCAAAGTCTTTCAAGGGTAGAGCTGTCATGACGTATATCTGCCTATGGCCTAGATCAACCCAAGTCAAATGAAAGTCTCTATGTTCTGCTTACAAAATGAAATACGAAACTTCATGCACCTTAAAGTTCATAGGATGAAAAGAGATTTTTTGAGGTCCTCATACTTATTAAGCCTAGCATTGAAAATATTGAATATTCACCTTATCAATACCTCAAATCCGTGAGAGTGTCCAATCGAGCTGAACCCTCCTTGTCGAAAGAACTGTTTGCTGGCAGGGGAGGTTCTGGAGAAGCTCAAGAATTCAGCAGCTATAATACTACTAATTATTTTTCATATTTGACTTTGGCAACTTAAGATGAAATTGCATCATTACAATATCCCATTTTTTGTATTTGATGATACAATGAATTTTCAATTTTACCATTGGCTTCTTACCATCCTTTTTTTCGTCCTAACTACACAAATACTAAAAGCCCGTTTGAATTGTTATTTTTTGAGATTTTCATAGAAAATATATATTGTAATGATTTGATATATGTAAAATAAAAAAATGCTTAAAAAATGTGTTAGCAAAACACATAAATTTTTTGAAGAAAGATAAGGCCTAACTAGCAAACTTCTTGTTTTGGTAATAAAATTAGATGGAGGAATATTTAACTAACTGAATTGCTATTTTATAAGATTTTTATAAAAAAAAAAATATATTGTAATGATTTGATGTCCTTATACTATATAAGAATGATTTGTGGTTTTGAATTTCAACCACATGAATAGGGACATTTTGGGAATATAGAATGATGTGTAATTTTTTTTAAAGCTTTTGGTACAATTGATGTCAACATTTTTTGGATATATTTATGGAAATGTCCTTACGTTTGTACATTTAAAATTTTTATTTATTGAGATATTTGGGTATTTCTGGAATGTGAAATCATTTTACACTCTTTTTGCATTGGGTATAACTCATATAAGCTTATGTGTTGATGTAATTACTGAAATGGTGTTATAGACACATTTAATTGAAGTATGATTTTTGTTGTACAATTAATTCCTTATAGTATAACCCCCATTACCTCGGACCTAATCAATAACTTCAACTAATCAAAATTCTTTCTTATGATCTCCCATAACCTACAATCAATTGAATTAATTATTGTCTAAGTAACAACTGTTTCTAATTATTCACACATTCATCCATTTGCTTCTTGCTTTTCCATTTTTCCCCAACATTTACAAATATAGGATCTTTCTTCTTCCTAACATTAAATTGTACCAGTTATGTATACCACTCTATAAAACTTTTTTTTTATTCCTACCACTCTATACAACTAAGATCAGTGTCTTGCCTTTTACAATTTTGTTCTAAAGTCATATATTTCTTTGTGTTTCTTACAAGGGTGAAAAACCCAATTGGGAAGAAAGATGTAAAAGTAAAATTAATGCAAATTATTATGAAACTTATGTTGGATGATCATTATCACAACACGGCCAACTTGTTCCAATTATTTTTCTTTATTTCCGATTTAATTGTATCGAAGTTGTGAAATTTATAAAATAGAATTTTGCTGATTTAACTACTCCCTTTAGTTGAGTACAACCTTCAAAAGAGGTATTTTCTATTCCACCAAAATTTCATTTGCTTGCTTTCACAGGACTCTATGTATGATTGTTTTTCACTAGCATAATTTCATCATTCATATGGAATTTTTGAAACATATAGTGAACGTTTGATCATCATTGCAGGGTTAATAGTGAAAATACCACATCTGCAAGCAAATATTGGGAAATATCATTAACCACTTTCTACTTATGGCTTCCAACTCCAATTCATGTCTGCAATTTCTTCTTATTTTGGCTTCACGATGGGTTTGTTCTACCAAATAAGCTCTTTTCACGTGAGGGTGTTTTTCTGTTGTATTTCATCATTACGATTGAGATGTGCTCTCAAAGAAGAAACGAATTTTCATATTATCATATAGTGTGAATCTTTCAAGAGAGTGTGAAGGGCATTTTCTTTACGACTAAATTGTGATAACGGTTCACTTATTTCTTTCAAGAATGCTTTATGAAATAGACACCTTAAATTCCCAATACTCATGTTTGTTTGTCCAATGCAACAAATTTGTTGCCCACATTACCGATTGCTTTTGGAGAGACAAAATTGCAAAAATTATCCTCAATAAGTTCTATGAGCCAGCTCTTAACTTCAATTTATTAGTTCTCAATGGATTTCCATCAATATGAGCCTATAAATTTATTTCCTTCTAAAAACCCGGATTTTGGATCATGTTATGTTTTGTTTTCCTATTGATCAGAACAATTATAAATTCTATGCTCCAATCCACATCATACTTGCCGGATTGCTTGATGAGACCAAATATATATTAGGCATCAACTTGCTTGGATTTTAGATTCTATGTGCACAAAAACTTAGGGACTTCCTCGATCATAGTTAAGATGGATTGTCCGATACTTCCAAATTATTTGTGTGATGCTTTTGAGCTTTCCATAATATATTTACAAGGTTGATTCTTTCTTTTCGAGTGTCAGGTTTGTCAAAATTGATGTGGATGAGATAAAACTAGTTAAGAACAAACCTAAGTGTTAAACTTTTTTAATCTTGTAATGAGTTGTAGTATAAGGATATAAATTATCTATTTGACATTAAAAAAAATGTTTTTGCTCTCATTTTTTATGTTGATGTTGAATAATAAAAAGTAATATATTATAACTTCAACTTTGGATGTTTTCTTATTATGTTATTCAGTTAGTCCTTTTTGACATTTTCTTCTATGTTCTTGATTAACATATGCAGAAGAAATACTATGTGTACTTAAAAACTAACTTTATTTTATGTAGGGTGTGAAAGGATTTGTTTATGGGCAATTCTACTTCAACTAATATGATACTTATCTTATAGACATGTTCTTTTTAATAACTTATATCTGCAATATTTTCTACTTTCTCAATTTTATTGTGTTTTTCTTAAAAATTATGTAAAAAATTTTAAATAGAAGCATTCAACACCTGCGCATTGCGCGAGCTTTCATACCCTAGTATGTAAGATAAAAAGTGCTTAAAAAATGTGTTAACAAAACACATAAATTTTTCTGAAGAAAGATAAGGCCTAATTAACAAACTTCTTGTTTTTGGTAATAAAATTAGAGGGAGAAATATATATATTTTTTTGTCAGCAACGATACATTTGTATAACCTAATCTAGGGGGAGGGGAGCCTAAGGAGGCTGTGGAAGGGGTTAATGGGTATACAGACCCAACTAGATCAAAGGAGTGCTATGGTACAACCCTTAGATTTTTTTGAAATCTCACCAGCAACGAAAAAAATCTAAGTCCCTTCACGGTGGCCACTGAGCCAATGGCCCAGTGGTTGAGAAATATTTAACTAACTGCCTCCTAACACGCGCCAACTGAAAATGAAGTGATGAATCACCTCTCCTCCTCCTCCACCTGCCGCCGCATCCGTTCTTTTGCCACCCTTCTCCTCAACCTCACCACCACCACCACCACCGCTAGAAGACTTTTCTCCACCCAATCACGGCTATCTTCGCCAATAAACCATCGAACAAAGTGGCCCCCACCAAAACCAAACCCAAAACCATTCCAATCTAAGTCCACCCCACCCCAGTTCCAAAACCCTGAAAGCCCTAATTTCGACTCTTCCCCTGACTTCACCACCTTATCGAACCTTCTTACCAATCCTTCCCTTGAGCCCGACCCGGAGCTTGAAAATGCCCTGAATCAGGCCCGAGTTGAGCCTAGGCCGGATTTGCTACTGCAGATATTCAACCATTTTGATTCTTCCCCTAAACCCTTGTACATTTTCTACCTCTGGGCTGAGAAACAGCCGGGTTTTAAATTCTCTCTGGCTGTTTTCAATGCATTGATTAATGTACTTGGGAAGGCCCGAGAGTTCAACCGGGCTTGGGCTTTAATACATGATAAGATTAATGCTAGTGAAGAGAGGCCTAATTTTGATTCATTTGTTATTATGATCAGGAGATTTGCAAGAGCAGGTAGTCTTGCATTTTGCACTGGATAATTGTTTTATTCGTGGATTATTTGATATTTATAATCTGCAAGATTCTTGTGATTTACTGTTGGAAATTTATTTGAAATGCTGAAGTTTGAATTAGACTCCAAGATGGATTGTGAGTTCAAATAAGATTTTTTCTTTGATCTTTGTGATTATGGGTTTCTAGTTTATGTACGTTGTTATTCTTGGAAATGTTTCAGTTTTCTGGTCGTGGAATTTGTGAAGCAGTGTGTGCTCGTTTTTAACAGTTTTTGTTGTTTGGGGGTGGGGGATGGTGGGGCTGGGGACAGAGGCCTCAGTTTTTTATGGCTGCTTTTGAAAATCTCGTATATCATGATGCATTTTTTCCTGCCATTTTGTTTTTAAGAAAGAATTTGTGTAAAATTTACTGAGATTTATAGGAGAATCATGAACATTTGCACACAAGTGCTTTCTTTTCTTGGAATGCTTTGGATATATCAATGATCAAGTTATTTACCAGCACCAGAGATCCCCTGATGATCTGAATCTTCCTGTTATTGAGAATCTTCTTTTAACTGCAAATACTGAAAATGAGATGTCTCTAAATAGTTTGAGCAAGTTTTTGATTTAATGTTGCATCCAATACATTCCCTATTGAGAAAACGGTTTACTGCTGACTTGTGTTCTGCTTAGCATTGAGTCATTATTTTTGTGTTCTTCATGTTTAACTTTATTTATTTTGTTTAAGTGTTGAATTGTGCATCATTCATGACTCTCTTTCCTTTGCAGGATTGCCTTCACAAGCTATTCAAACTTATGAATTTGCTTCCAATTTGGCATTTCGTCAGGCTTCAGATTCAGAGCAGAAATTGTTTGAGATTTTATTAGATTCTTTATGCAAGGAGGGACTTGTTAGGGTAGCTTACAAGTGTCTTAAAAATCGAAGGGGACAGGATACAAGCTGGGTTCCATATATACGCATTTACAATATACTGTTAAATGGCTGGTTCCGATCAAGGAATTTAAAACAGGCTGAACGATTTTGGATGGAAATGAAAAGGGAAAACATTAAGCCGAGTATTGTAACTTATGGTACTCTTGTTGAAGGATATTGCCGGATGGGCCATGTTGAGGTAGCAATGGGCTTAATAGCTGAGATGAAGAGGGAAGGAGTTGAGCCGAATGCAATTGTTTATAATCCAGTAATTGATGCTCTAGGAGAGGCGGGGAGGTTCAGGGAGGCACTGGGGATGATGGAACAGTTTTTGGTGTTGGTATCTGGGCCAACTATTTCGACCTATAATTCACTGGTTAAGGGTTTCTGTAAGGCTGGAGATCTGGAAGGGGCAAGTAAGATCATCAAAATGATGATAAATAGAGGGTTTGTGCCAAGTGTAACGACTTATAATTATTTCTTTAGGCACTTCTCAAAATCAGGGAAGATTGATGAGGGCTTGAACCTTTATGCTAAGATAACTGACTCTGGATATGCACCAGATCAGCTTACTTATCATCTTCTGGTGAAGATGTTATGTGTGCACGGAAAGTTGGACCTGTCAATGCAAGTTGTTAAAGAGATGAGGGCAAGTGGCTGTGATCTGGACTTGGCTACAAGTACCATGCTAATCCATTTGCTAGTCAAGACACAGCATGTTGACATGGCCTTTGAAGAATTTGAGGATATGATTCGCAGAGGATTGGTCCCTCAGTACCTTACGTATCAGAAGATGAGTTTCGAATTAAGGAAACAGGGAAAGCTAAAAATGGCCCAGAAAATTTCTGATCTGATGTCGTCTGTTCCTCACTCAAAGAAATTGCCGAATACATATGGTGCTCATGAAGAACTATCCCATGCTAGAAAGAAAACTATTATGAAAAAAGCTGTAGTAATGTCTGATGTCTTAAAAACATATAGTAACCCAAGGAAGCTTGTGAAGCATAGATATCTACCTAAGAGTGGTGTATCACGTGCAGACAGGTGATGGACGATATCAGGAAAGGAGTAAACATGGATTAAACCTGTCTTGTCCTGTTAAATGAATTCACTTCCTCAAAGGATATGTTAAGAAGGCTTATTGATAGTTTTCTTCTAAAGGATGAGCGAGTCCACTAGGAGGCCTGATGTAGTTCAAGGCTTAGACTCACTGTCTTTTGCAGGTATCAGTTGCTTCTCTTGATCAATTTCTTGATTGGGTTTTCCCCTTTTCACATTTGCTGGATGGAAATTTGCGTGTGTTTGCAGAATGTTTTTTCTTTTATGAACCTTGTTGTGTTCAATCTGTCGGAAACTTTTCCATCAAGGATAAATTGGAAACTTTCTCTTCCCGGAAAAAGCAGAAGCAAAACCCTTGTTGAAATTCACCTTTGGATCAAATCATTTAATTTGTTACACAGGATTTCTAATCGCAAATTTTATGTCTTATTGAACCTGCTGACTCCCATCCTTGAAAGTAACTGCTAGACTTTTCACAGGGCTACACAAACAGATTCTGGTAGCCTTTAGTAGCTAGGATTTGAACAGAGAATGTTATTTGAAAATGTTAATCTATTTGTTCTCTCCATGACAGGGTCTTTCATTGATTGCTGGTATTCCTTTAACAGTCATTTGGAGATTTAAATGTGGAAAACTTGAACTCCACCACTGAATTATGCAGCATTGGTTTGATACTTGTTAGGCTTCGTGTATAACAGGATGCCTAAAGTATACTAACAGTTTTTGAATGCAAAGGATTGGATCGAGGTTCAGATTCCTGGCCAATATGCAGTGCCCATGTCAGTAAATAAATGCAAAAGATTTCCTCGGTGGAGATGATAGGAGATGATTTGAGCCAAGTGTTACTTCCATTTGAAACTATATTTGATGCATTGGTGGAACCCGGATTATGAAAAGAGACACTATGGCTGCTCGGAAAATTTTTTTTTTTTTTCAAGTTGTGACAATACCCACGATCTCCACCTATAATGTGCTTGTGAAGGGTCCTGCAAGGGCAGAAATATGCAGAGTACTAGCGAAACCTCAAGATGAGATGAATAGAGGTTCTCTGCCTACTTACTGAAGGTTGCTTTCTGGCAGACTATCATAAACTTGTTAGATGTAGAAGAAATGGTTTGACCAACTTTGGAATTTTTGATAGAGATACAACTACATGTAATGTGATTTAATTTGCCTACTGGAATCATGGGGATTTTTTTTCCTGGAGAGCAATTATCTTGAGAAAACCGTTGCAGCACTTGAAGATGTAATACCAATTGAAGGTATTCCACAGTGAGTGAAGTATCTGTCAGTAACAAGTTGTCAACTTTGTTTGGACTTAGGATGGTATCTGTTCTCTCTCTTCAAAGGGATTGCTCAGTGGGCATCGCTAGGAAATACACTCTTCACTTGCAATTTGAAAAATGATAATGCAGATAGCTGAAACATTGCGCGACATAACAAGGTCACGAGGTTTGAGGGTGGAAAAATAATCAGTAGTTTCTCAACTCTCTGTTGTTTGCTTACATGTAATTTTTAGTGTTAGTTCCCTTCAACCATGGTTTACTATTAGTGCAATGAAGTTGGTTTTAATGTCTTGGATCTAGGGCTTTTGTCCCTTTTTCTTTCCAGGCACGAACTGAATAGACTAGTTTCAGCATAGACCTGATGTTGTATTTGAAAGTACATGTTGTATAGTTGCAGTGATCCTTGACAACGTGCCTCCAGAGTTGAGGAAAGACACATTTTGCCAGCAGCCTGTGTCTCTGTGTGCAGCCAGAGTGTGGCAGCTGACTTGTCTTGAGTTTCAGCATCTCTGTCATGCTTATGAGTTGAAACATTTTTTCGTTCCCCCTCTTTCCTAAACGAATAACTTATTATGTTTGTTAAACGTCCACAAGATGATTGAAAGTCTATCAAGCTGCTTCATCCACTTGTTCGCTGCATTGAGACATGCATCTCTAGTCTGGAACAGTACCGTATAAGTTTTCCATTTTAGTTTCAAGGAATCTTCGTGCTGTTCTTGCCAGGTTGAGATTTTAGAGTAGTGGGTTTAGTGAAGAAATGTCATTTTTCATCTTCTTCCCCTCCATTAGGTCCTGTTCTGCTATCTCAGATGCTATGCTGTGGATCTGATTTAATGATGCAGCGTCCTGTTCCCCTCCATTAGGTCCATTAATGATGCTATCTCTCTAATTAGCAAATGACCATGTAGAACAAATATGTTTTGCATATGATAAAGAGGCCGATTAATAATGCAATGTGCCTTTTTGTAGTGGCAATTAATTTCAGATCCCCATCTAGTCATTGAACTTAAACAAATTGAAATCCATGGGATATTGAGGAATTTTCTTGTTCTTCTTCATTTATAAGGGTCCGTGGCAATTGATGTATGACATTCTTGAAAGTCACTTTGTTTTTTCATCTCAACGTTGATATGATGCATCATTTTTCAAATGATTTGATGACTTGTAAGCTCCGAAGTTGAAAGTAAAACTTATAGTTGGTCCACAAGAATTAGTTTGCCTTTATTTAAAAAGCAAAATATTTCTGGTCCAGATTTTTTCTGTAAGGATTAAATTTATGCTGCAGTTCAATGGTTATGTGTGTAGTATTAAGTCTGGTGTAAACCCAATGCCTTTTCACTTTCCACTTGATAGCTGATTCTTTGTGGGCCTTATGTAGTAAAAAATTGGTTATAATCCAATTATTTGTTACTCATGATATCATCTGCTAGGCCACAGGGTCTGTTGAATTTAGTGAATTTTACATAAAGAGACTTTTGTTTCAACATGGCACATCTCAAATATGGAGGAGGGTATCGACTGAAATATTTTTATTTAACAGAGAATTACAGTTTTAATTTCGAATGTTTGAGGTACGAGTGTTTTTAGTCCCTAAATTTTGGATGAAAGTAAATAGTCCCAAATGTTCATGTTTCTATGCACATTTAGTTTTAATGATTGATTTTTTTTTTTTCCAATTAGTATTGGAATCAAGTCACGTGCCAGAAACCAATTAAATTGATAAAATATTGCTAGCCATGATTTGTAATAAAAATTATTAATTTTTTGCACGCTGATCACATGAATAATTAATTTTCAACCTAAATATTTTGTCGATTGAATTGTTGTATTTTTAGGCTAAAGAATAATTAGTCACCTGATTGGCACACGAGTCATTAGTCTAATAATATTTTTTTCTTTTTTTTTAATTTTTATAAAAAAATTTAATCAATAGGACTAAATGCGCTTAAAAATTAAAACATTTGAAACTACATTTGCTCTCATCCAAACTTTAATAATTAATTATAAGTCCACCTGCATTAAACATTTGGACCAAAACTACTCTCTCTTTATTTAATGTGTAAGTGCAACAAATGCCTCCTACTCAGTATTACCTACTGCAAGTAATTGCTGTTGATTAAACTATTACAAGTAGTTACATGGGGGAATTTCCAGTGGACCCCTAAATCTGCAGAACTTAATCACGGAATGACACTGTGGATATGATTCATCAAATCATTTTGCAGGTATGTTGGAGAGGAATTTGGAGATAATGCCAACAATTATTGCGATAAGCACCAATAACCCTTTGCTTGATAGGCCCTGACAAATGCAATGACATCTTCAAAGATTTGGTAACAAGAGTTTTGTCTATATTCATGCTAGCATTACTGTTAATCTGGACTTGAACGCACTGCCTCAGAAAAATATAAAATGAAGAAAACCCTCCTTGCATATGTAACAATAAAGAATGTTGCTAAGCAGCTGATTCCATATTCCGGGTGGAATTCCATTAGAGGAGGCACACCTCCATTTGAAATCCGGCTAGCTTTGTTTGGGGTAGCTTTTGCCTCAAAAAGGTGGTGATTGCCATTTCTGGAAGGCTGCAAGAGATCAGGTTATCTTTGCTCATGGTCAAGTGATCAAGAATGTGCAAAATTGTGCAGCATCCAAATGGATTTCAAGCTTTGTTTCCAGCAGAAAAAAAGAAAGGGGGGGGGGGGATGGAAAACATAATGGTTATTTGAGGACATTCAATGTAATATTAGTGCATCCTAAATTGACTAATATATAGCCCACATCTCTTTGAGTTGATTGGAGCACCGTTACCTTATCATCCCATGCATGCTATGATGGTTATGAAGCTCATTTCTAGTTGATTTACTTGATATGTTTTCAGTGACAAGTAGAGTAAGGTAGAAAATCTTTGTGAAATGAAAGAGATGCAATCATTTGAGTTTGATTTCTTGAAAATGTTGGGATATAAATGAAAGAAAACCATACTTATTGAGTACTAGTAGTTTTCTACTGCAGTATAGTTGGTTACTTTTTGAGTGATTCCATGCACTGTCAAAGGAATAAAAAGTAGAGTAAACAGGATGCTGCAGCAACAGACGACTACAATGGGAATCAAATCTTTTGCAGAGAATGTATTAATGTTGCACTTGGATCAATCCTTCCTCTCTCTCTCTCTCTCTCATTTTCAATTTCTATCTTTTGTTTTAGCACACTCGTAGCTATTGGCACACAAGTTTGGTAGTATTTAGGTCTTTTTTCCACCAAAGTGTTTGGTATTGAATGGTGATGACGAACTTGTTTCAATCATGCCAGAAGATGAGGAGCAACTAGTGGAAACCACACTCCTTTACATTTTTAATGATCCACAAGTCTGTAAAAAGCTGTTGGTAAAAATTGTAAACTTGGAAATGTCATTTCTCTCAGCTAAAATGACATGCAAAATGCAACTTCTTTTCCTCTCCAGTTTCTAGGGGAGAGAAGCAAAAGAATCATTGCGTAGAGGAATTGGTTTGTGTCCACCTGGTATCCATTACTCTTCAAAGTTCAAAGAAATCTAGCTCCATCACTATCTCCATAATTCCTTATCTCTTTCTTTCCCGTTTGAATTGGCAAATCAATTAGACAATGATGACAAGAGCAGTAACCATTTCTCTAATTAGAAGCAGAAGTACAAAGCTTCAAGTCAAGCAGCAAAACTTTCTTGCTCCTAGTCAAAGCTATTGCTACCAAATGGAATAATTCCCTGTAAAGTTGAATCTTGTTTTGTACAAATTGTGCTCGACTTTACACAAAACATGGAGTAATAACTTTCTACTTCGAATTGTATAAATTACAAAAACATGATCCTCGAAAATCAAGATTCAAATATCAAAATGAAGGGTGTGTTTAAATACAAATTATTTCAAATATTATTTTATTCGTATCATAAATATATTTTTAACCATTTTTTTTTAATTATAATTACCAAAGGATTCGTATAAATCATGTGATTTTGGGGGGGGGGGTGTTTTTCAAATACTACACTATAATATTATATATGAAAAAACTTTTCAGTGTACATTTATTTTTGAGCATTTTTAAAATTTATAATTCTATGAGATATTTTTAAAAATTAAAAAAATTTCCCCACACAACACCACCCACTATAGAGAAAGAAATGAGAGTGGTTGGCGGGGGAAGGGAGGGAAAAGGAAGGAAGGAGAGAAGGGAGAAGGAGAGGGAGGAGAGAGGAGGAGGGAGGGGCGATAGTGGTCTTGACGGTGGTAGAGGTGAGTGGTGGTATACACTGGGTAGAAGAAGAAAAAGTTGTAGAATTTATTATTTTTATAAATTGTATTGAAGATTGTACGAATTTTATATTTTTATGATAATTTTGATATGTATATTTGAAAATTTTATTATAAAAAAATATGCTAATTCAAACAGAGCCCAAAAAAAGGATATGCAATTCCTTATTACTATTCGATCCTTTTTTAACTTACATAGTAAGAAACTTTTGGAATTTGTTTGACTTGCTTGTTCAATCGAGTATTGACTAGAGCTCAAGGAGATTGATATTAGTTGAAAATAGAAAAGCAATTAAATCAGTAGTATGTGGCGAACGTTTTTGATTAGAAATGATTTATCACACAAAGGCCAAGGTGAGAAAAGGACGGCTGAGTGTTTGGGGCAGTGAGTGAGTGAACTTAGCTGAAAGTGGATGCAATGCAGTCAACAAATGTACTCAAATACCTAAGTTGCTGATTGAGAGAATCAATGCTTAAAAATTCCTCCCACTTGGAACCCCATATGCCAACGAAAATCCGCAAATCACCCCATTGGCTATTGTAATTTATTACTCCTACTTATTTGATCCACTTTCTAATTTGATTTTTTGTGCTTTTAGGTATGGATTGTGGCACTTTCACATCTCATAAAACATACCTGCAATTTGCTTTCTTTCTTGTTTTGTTTATTCTACAATCAAATCTTCTTGTGGATTGCCCTGACAATGTGTTGAAGAGCATTGATGGAAACTATTCACTAATATAAAAAAAAGGCCCAATTTGTTTTGGCTTTAATTTGTTTTTTCTGGTAATGATTATGAATATTTTCATAATCAATTATTGAACAATCACTTGAGCAATAATTGATTATTATGAAGAATTTGTTCGGTCGAGCCATTTATAGATCAATTTCTTGTATCAGGTTCTATTTTGTGAATGTGATTAATAAGTGATTGGTTGATATGTTCACAAAATCTAAAAATCATGTAAATTGAACACAAAAAAAAAAATTAAAAAAGCAGAACAAAAGAAAACTAGAAAAATGTGTAACAAGAAAAGGGCCATTTGCATGAAGCAAGAGAAAAGCCAGAAACTTTTGCTTTTTAATGCTCCCAGAAAACAACTCTTTTATTGATTTTACATCATCTTTTTCTGAAAAATCGTGCAACCCTTTTGCCCCTTCCTCCTTCCTCACTCTCTCTTTGCTTTTTACCCACACAACACACAGTAGTATATATTAAGAAAGATTCTTGCTTTCTTCATTTGTATGTTGTATAGCAGGGAAAAAAAAAAACAAATGAAGCTAATCAGCAGCTATGGTTTTACCTTAACATTCCTGCGTTAAAATGAGCTAATAATAATGTCTGTTTTCTCCAGCTGAATTTAATAATTGTTATGTATTTAACCATTTATGGCTCATACTCAAAATAACAGTAGTTCTGCGGGTGCTGCTGCTGCTATTAGTACTAGTGGTGCGGATGAAGTTAAGGCTTCTGGAACCATTTTTCATGATTTTTTGGGCAAACGGTCTGCTCCAGATTATTTATCTCCGGCAGGTGGGGTGGCAGCCGGCAGAGTCCGGCCAACATCCGAGGCCTCTCCTTCATCAGCTTCTGTCTCCATTGGTGGCTCTTCTGGTGGTGGCCGTGCTCCAATCTCCACAACTTCTGATCTGGGTTCTGGTGAGACTTGAGTTGTCAGTCATAATTCTCAAAGTTTGCATCTTTTCTCGCCTTTTTTCCTTGTTTTGGCTCTTTTTCAAATTTTTTATGATACCCATTGTCATTATGTTATTGTAAGAATTCTTGATTTTTCTCTTCCGGTTCTGTTTCTTTACCTAATTTTTGTGTGCCTTTTGAATGACTATGGAATGGTTGTAACTATTCATGATAAAATAGACAGAGAGCTGGATTCTTCTATTTCCTTCATTGGTAAAGTTTTGAAGGTAGCTGATGCACTTAGCTCTTGTACTTGCCTCAACTTTCTGGGGTACTTAGGATTTTTTATTTTTTTGGTTGCTAATTTTGTGATCCTTCCCTTTACTGGATAACAAACTTGGAATTGTTTATGTCTTTCTTGGCATCATCTATAGTGGGTTGGTTGTGGCCTTTGTATTCTCATGATGGAGTAGTTTGTCTTAGGTCATTCATTGACTAAGTAGGTTTAGAGAACTCACAGCTAGTGCGTGGATTATTTAGCGTATTTCTTGCATGTATGATGCAGTGACTTTTTTCTTTTGATATCGGTGATGTCTAGTTTTCATGGGTTATCCTATTAGCTTTCTGTCCATTCCAAGATACACAAGTTATTGATTTTTGTGCCAGTTGGTAACTTTAAGCAATGAAAATGCATGGTAACTCTATAGGTGATTGAGATTCGAATTTTACTTTAATAATGACAATGCCATGTGCATGACTTAGTGGAAAGTTTTTTGGAGTTTTGGGATTATTTATTGTTTGATCATTCTTTCATCAACTATGGTAGAACGACAAGGTGGAAATCATTTTGAAGGAGTTCCGTTCTATGGAGCGAGAAGTGATCTTATTGGGCATGAAACAAGTAGTAGATTTTCTGGAACTAAGAGAAGTAACTCAGACTCGTATATTGGAACAACAAAAGATAGATTTCCACAAATGGTACCAGATTCTCGTGAAGGCTCACAGTTGATGAAGGTAGGATACTTCTTCTAGCCCATCATTCTTCTCTTTTCATTGCTCATAAACAAAACTTCATCTATCTTAGCATTGGCTGAATATATACTATGTAAGATGTCTGCCATTTGCTCTAATACTGTCCATTTGGTTTGAAGTTCAGCTAATACGACATGCTGGTGGAGAGAGACCAAGACGTCCACAGGATGAGGATGTGTCGTTTCCTATGCATTTAGTCCGGCCAATTTCAGCTTCCCTTGTATCACAGCCTTCCTCTGCTGCCAGAGCTGAAGGTAATACTTCAAGATTGGATCGTGGTATTCCAATGAATGTTGGTCCGCCTTGGCAGTATCCACCACGTTCCAGTCAAGTTTTTCCTTTTGGCTACCAAGGACTATCAAACAAATTGAGAGACTCCAGTGTTGGTCCATCAGTTATATCTCAAGGAGCTGCTGATGAAGGATCTAGGACTGGTATTAAAGGATCTGGACTTCTGAGCTCTATTAACACAACTGGTGGAATCTCCGAAAGAAATTTTACTGGGGCAATAGTCAGCAGTAGTAAGCTGAAGTCCGGGATTCACAATTCTGAACCAGAATCCTCTACAACTCCAAAGTAATATTTCGTAAAACACTTATTGTTTCTGTATGCCTTGTCTATTTTTTCTTCCTGCAATAATAGTTGATGACACATAATGTTTATTTGTGATAGCCAACACGGATTTGCTTCTTCTGGATGTCAGATGACTATTTTCTATGGCGGTCAAGCACATGTCTTTGACAACGTTCATCCCAGCAAGGTCTAGTCCCTGTTCTTTTCTAGCCCCTTTATTCATTGAAAGATATATTTTCTGAATTGCTGTTTGCATTAATTCGGCCAGTGAATTGATTTGTAATAGAAGTCTTTTTCTATTGCCATCTGGGCTTCATGCATCATATGAATGATAAAGATCTCTGTCTTTTGATCATAGAGGTCTGACCCATGTAGTGGTTTCTGTTGGTTTTACCTTATTTAGTGAGACAAATGCACGCACTTCTTTCCTAATTCAATGCAGTAACTACTTGCTGAATCTTGACATCCTGTAACCAATCATGAGCTAGTCAATTCCAACCCTAATTAAGTCACATGACATAGGCATCATACAGTATGAAAAAGCTAATACTGCCAATTTTGAGCCAAGTATACTTTACATTTTTGTCCAGTTTTGGGTATGTCAGGGTGAAAGTGAAAAATAAGGTGAACTTTTGATGTGTAGCTCTTGACATGTGAAGGTCCTGATAACCTAAGGCTGGACAAATTAGGACAGAAAAACATGTATTTTCCTCTCATGGTAATGTCTGGGCTTATAGCATCGCGATTTTACCTCATTAGGATATCAAAGCTTTTGACTGATGGATTCTATGAATTTAAGTGCTTATTTACAACTTGGTATGTCCATCATGGCAAGTTAGATAGTTGTCGTATGAGTTCTACATTAACAGTGGTGGGCTTTTTGACCTAGGGAATCTGCATGGAGTCACAAGGAAGTGTTGGTTTGTGGAGTAGGAGTGTAGCTTTGGAATTATTGTATCATAGCAGGTCATGCTTTAGCATAATGTAGAGAAGGAAACTATATAAATGAGAGTACTGTTCTACTAATGAATCAAATGTTTGATTTGGTAATCAACTGCATGTGATGCCTGCGATAATAAGACAGCACTTGTTTTACCAGGTTGATCATTGTACCTGTCTCAAGGCTATTTATTTCTTTCAGAATTACATGGACATTTTAATTGAGGATCTGAGCTGCTTTAACTGGATTGCAACATTTGTACTTGGATGACGAATACTCAAATTCATCATATTTTATGGTGATTGTGATGTTTAAAATTTACAGAGAAAAGACTTCAAACTGGGATATGTGGTCTTTGTGTAATGATCACCACATGTATAATAATCTATCCTGCTCTGTATTAAAAAATATTTTCCCCTGGATACATTATTAACAAAGTTTTATTAGATTCCATTCCATATGGATGTCAATAGCTTTGCAGGCAAAATGGCCAAGAAAAGTATAGTTGACTTCATTTTTTAACTCAACCTTGCAGCATCACTCTTCATTTTTTAAGTAACCTTGCATTTGGTTAGGTATTTAACTAACTGGAAAGGAAATCTAGTGATTGTTTCTTTTCAAATAGAGTGATGCTGCACCTTTTAAAATCATAAGCTAGATTTGTTACCTTGTTTATGTACATAATTTCCACAATCTTTTAACTCAACCTATATCAGTTGTTACTCTAACTCTGCGCTTAGCTGGATTTCTGGTTTTAAGACCATAAAGTATTTTGGTGTCTGACTTTCTTCAAATGTTAGCCTTTGGCTGGGTAAAAATGAAAGTTGATAGGAGCTTGAGGTACAATCCAGTAACTGTGCCTGAAGAAAGCATGATCAGAGTCCAAGGGGCTTCAACCAAACAGGGTTTGCTGGAAGATTATGGCCCTGCAGCCCTGAGCGCACAAAGCTGGTTTTTTTTTTTTTTTAATCTTGGAATTTGAAGTAATAGCTAGTCTATGCATTGTCCTGCCCTGTGCTTGTTTTCTTTGAAGTGGTACTTGGTCCTTGAGGTGGGCTGCAAAGGAAAAATTGATTGCAGGACCTCCAAATTTCCAGCTCTTTGATTTTGGTTCTAATCTTGCTGCATCTTCAAAGTTGCTAAATCCTTTTAATTCGTTTTTCAAAAATTATATGGACTATTTTCAAGTCTCTCTTGCATTAGTATATCCAGTTTATAGCTCTCTTTTCTTTATCCACCTTAATACTATATAAGAAATATCTTTTAATGTAAACTCCTATTGATCTAGTCCTTTTACACTTAATTTGGTATTGTTTAGGTTTTAAATGCAAATTTTTGGAGGATGGTTTCATATTCTTGGTGTTAAAAGTTTAAAAGAAAAGATTGATTTTTAAGCTGCAATTAGAATCTGAGTTGATATTATATTCTTTCGGTATTCAAATCTGATTTTAATTTAAGATTACTTCTATTTGCTTAAAGATGGATCAATGGGACTCCGCAAGGTATTTAGAGAAGATAGGATTAGAATTGCACATGTCAATAGTGGAGTTAGCAACCTTATTTTTGTGGATGGAGACAAACCTTTGCTGAACCATGTTATTTCCTCTGCCTCCAAATGCTCTTTTGTATGTATGTGATCTTTCATGCAGAAGTTTACTGCCTTCTCCCTTTTAGGAACTTAAGTAACCTCTTACGAAATTGAATGGGCGTTGGATGATTCTACAACACCCTTTTCCATGATTGGATTAAGTTATTATAGTGACTATTTAATGTTTTAGTGCCACAGCATGATCTGGTGAGTGAGAGGCATGTACTTATGGATGTTCTCTAAGAACCAAAATTTATAGAAGGGGATAGATGCTTGCGGATTGAGACTCTTTTGTTGTAACTTTTTGTGCTTAATCAAGCCTTGCTTCTTATGATATGTTATGACATTCATTTGTAAACATCTAAACTCCTTTCCAGTTTAATTTTCATATCTTACACAGTGCAGTCTCTAAGTACTGTAATTATTTAACAACAATACCAACCTTATGTCTTTGTTCTTTCCAAACCTTTGTATGTATCTGTCTTTGTAACATGTAGCTCTTGGAAGGTTATTTCCATCTCAAATCTACAGTTTGATTTTCTTTTTTTTTTTTAATCAAAAGATCTGGCCTCCTTATAGTTTGGTTTTCTCATCTATAATTAATGTCACTCCTTATGAACACAGTGCTATATCAAGTATGCCATATGGAAAAAATAAATTATCTTATCTGCATTTGTTTGTTGCTTGTAGTGGTGCTTCCTGTATCAAAAAAGAAAACAAAATAGAAAAAAACAGATTAGCTAATGGCCCACGTTTGTTTGACAGCTTAAACAATGCTCCACTTTAGATAGGTTTTTGGTCTTAATCAAGATAGGTCAAGGGCGCGTCGGAATGATCAGTGGCTGCTTAGTCTCATCTGAGAGTATAATCTCCTTTTACTGCCTTTTTTCTTTGAAAAAAAAAGAGAAAGAAGTGCTCCTTCTTTCTTTTGCAGATAAGTCATCGTTAAAGAAAGGAAAACCGGGGGGTGATGAGAGTCAGAGGGTAGCCCTTCTTTTCAAACATATTTAGCATAGGAAGTGGGTGAGAAGATGTCTCGTATTCATCTGAAATGGCTTTCTTCCTCTTTTTTATGCTTGTGCATTGTGATGCACTTCTGCAGAGAAAGGTACAGAAAAACATTTGGAAGGTTCCATTGTCCTTTTGGAGGGTCAGAGCATCCTCATTTCTTGATTTTTGCGTTTATCAATAAGTTAGGTGCATCTGATGTGCAAATAAACTTTTGATCCTATTATAGAAGTTTTATGCCTTCTTCCCAAGAAATAGTGGCCCGTGTTAGACAGCCTTATGAACCTAGACTTTGACTTCCTTTACTTCTTGCTTTTCATTTAAAACCTTTCCTCCCAATAAAGGATGGAACATTTTAGATGGTAACGCATCCGTGAAAAAGTTCAATTTTTTAATTTCTGGTTCTTGATTACGGGGATCCACTGAAAGTAGCATGTGTAGGAACTTAGATGTCTGTGGGTTTTTTTAGGCCATTATATGTGCTTTGTAGTAAAACTTTTGGTTATAGAATGCATTCTCTTGCTTGCACTTGGTATATATATGAAGTTGATGCTGTTGAGAACCCTGACATCAAAATCTATATCAGGCAGATGTTATAATGGCCTTAGCGGGATCCAGTGGGGGATCTTGGTCAACAACCTTCATGCCAAAGACCACTTCAAGGCCATTCACGGGAGAAAATTGCACACCAAGTGGTAAAAGCAACCCAGGCATGACAGGTAGCTTAGTTTTACAGCCGGAAGTGCATGGGAAATTGTCAGTCCGGGTGAACTCCTCTCATGAGTTAAGCTCTGGTGAGAATTATCATCCCCCTCCGTTTTAGCATCTTGTGTATCAGTTGTTTTCTAATGACCAATGTGATGTCTTCATAAAGGGCATTGAGCAAGATGTGTATTTTGGCAGAGTAACTCTCATGGGGTATTCTTCCTTGGGATTGTTTTATCAAATGGGCTAGCTGACTTATCTTTAGCTCTATGGGGCAGTACAAAGACCTTTCTATGGCACAAACTTTCTTTCTGTATATTAAAAAAAAAAGTCTTTTTCTTAATTTCTTCATGTTGACGGTATTAAAATGCTTCTGTTTTTTCAGAATCCCTCTGATATATGGGACATCTTGTTCAGGTACTCAGCGGGAGGAAATGCTGAAAAAGGATGCAAAAGCTCCAAATCATGCAGCTGATGTTTGTGCTGAAGAAAAACATGAAGTATGATGTGGATTTGCGTTTGCCTTGGCCTCACTAGTTTAGTTCTTCTTCAAGGATGAAATCAATCTCTCCGTTCTTCTGCAATTTTACTGCACTTGGCCTCAATTTTTCAACATTTTCATACGAGGTATTTACAAGCAACTGTCATCTGCAGAGACTTCATTAAGGAGTCCAATTGACCATCAGTTATCATCTTTTGCAAGGCAAATTCTCCATGCACTCGCAAGCATAAGTTATTCTTGAGTGCTGTATTAGTACAAAGAATTGCTCGCCTTCAACTTAATTCCAACATAATTTTGTAAATTTAAATTAGGAATTTGTCTAATTAAGCTTCACGTTTCTTATAATTGATTGTTTCATCTGATTGCTGCTGCTTTTGAGTCCACCCACCATAGTGCTAGGGATTAACAACAATGCCAAATAACAAGCATCTGGGGTCCTTGATTCATCAAACCTAAACTTCTAGAGTAAGATCTTTGGCAGTTGCAAAGAATATGCTTGCATTAGACTGATATGATTATGATTCATAACCAAACAGGAAAACAATTATTGGTTTTTTGTGTCTCAAAGAATTTACCTGCAAAAGTTGTTTGTTTCAAGCCCAGCATTTTTATTTCAGTGTGGGTTGTTGTGATGTGCTACCACCACCTGCAACAGGGATAAGGCTGTATTTTGTTCATTGACTTTGAACTGCTTGCCATCCACTTTTGCATTACAATGTTATTTTACTTGAGCAGAATGTAAATCTTCAAGATTTCTGGGCTATATGCAAATCTATCGATTATAAATTGACTAATTATCATGTGATGTTTCCAGAAATGGAAGCCGTTGCCTCTTATGGATTACATCAGGGTCCAATCTCGTCCCAAAAAGAAAAACAAAAAGATACATCAAATAAAGCTTTCAAAAACATTCTGAGCTGTATTTTCCTTACCTTTCCCCTTAAGGACTGCCTAACTTGTGACTTGGATTATTAGTTGTAGAAGGGGCATGCACCCAAACAAAGGATAAAATGACATTCCAGTAATGTAATCAACTCCTTCCCCTTCCGTCTTTCCCACTGATTTTTCTTGGAGTTGCATTTTATCTCTACATGAAATCATGTATTCTTCAAATCAATAAACTGTAAAGCCATGATCAGGTAATTTTATACTCCTTTCCATGTGGTCATTTCGTCAATTTTTAGAGAGAACTGCATAAAATTAAGGAGAAATTGCAAAGATAACCCTTGACATTTCCAAATTTATGGCACTGTTGTTTCACAAATATAGGTAACATCTTTTGGTCCTTAATATATATCCAGAGTTATTAGCGATTAGTGTAAATTAGGCATGTCAATGGGTAGGATCTGGATTGAATCCCTTTGATCAAGTTGCAAAATCATTAAATTTAGTTAGACCTAGATCCAGATTCACACCCAAACTCTTATGGATCTGAAAAAGTAAATTCAGATCTGGACCCTTATGAGTTTGGGTATTCAATAGGTATTCGTAGATATTTTTTTTATAAAGTGAAAAACTAAAGTAAAAGTATTTTAAAAATATATTAAGTTCAAAAATAACATAAATACCATATAATTTTTTCAAATAATAAAATTAACGTTCAAGAAGTTGAATGCAATATTATAAACTCAAAGAGAGAACTATTATCAACTACTTCTATTTTTTTTAATCAAAACTTTATCTGCATTTACATTAAATCTTTCATTTGTCTGCTTTTAGTTTTTCTCCTTTTCCCCAAAAGTTTATATATATATATATATATATATTAGATTATTTTAAAAGTTTACTAATATATATATATATATATATATATATATTATATTGATGCATAGGTCTGAGTATGATCTGATTTGGATCTAGATTTTAAATATAGATCATAAGAAAACCCAACTCTACCTAAACACATTTTTCAACTATCTTTTTATCTCACATATATCATATTCAAAAAAGTACAATAGTATTTTTTTTCACAAAATTATCCCAAATAATCTACTATCCAAACACACTAGTACTAGTAGAAGGATGGTCTTCCTTCTTAGAAACTAAAGTTTGCTCAAGATGGTCTATAACGGTTGGTTAACGAATTCAGACTCATTAAGTTTATGGCAATAGAACTTCATAAAGAGTCAAGAACGAAAGATCATGAATAGGAATGAACAAATTGAGTCAAACCAAGAGTATCTTAAGGGTTTAAGTATTTTAGAAAGAGATTTTTTTTATTGGAATTCACAAACCAATAATATTATGTGATTGTATATTCAAATACTATAGCAAATATGATAACGATAATGCAGACATAAGCCACTAATACTTGCTCCAAAATTGAAGTTTAATTAATCCCTAAATCAGATTATTGGCTACGATATTAGCAAATTTCTTGTTGTTTCCTCATCTTCTTTCATCATTGCTCCTCATTCTTTGGCCGAACGGTCTCATTCCTTTACAAAATTTAGTTCCCTTATGGATCGGATCAACTTATAATTTGGAATTGCTCTTTGTCGTATTATCACAGAACAAAATAGGAAAAGTTCATGTTGGAAAAGTTTATCTAGCGGACAAATTTCTACCAGCAAATCATGTTGTAATGTCTGATTCCATATGACAAAATGTGATCTTTAAGGATGAATGGAATGAAATTTGACCATGTACACACAATTTGTTGTGTTTGCTTGAGATTTAAGACACTCATAAAAACGCAAAATGTTATTACAACAATTTTATTTCTCCGTGGGGAAAAGAATGTTTCAGTTATATACTTGGACGATATAATGCACATGGAGAATTAAACCAAAAAGGGTTACTAATTTTGCTGGATAACATGAAGAAAAATACTAGTACTATTACTAGCTAGTTGTATTAACTATCTTAGGAAGGAAAAATTAATTAAAAGAAAATGTTTTGAATCTCACTGCTAGTGCATATGCGTTTAGCTGTACTAAAATATCTCTATCATATATATATATATATATATATAACAATATTCAGTTTTAATATTAGTAGGTTACTGAGTTAGCTATTCTAGCCTAATGCCAAATTCACAATCTATCTATCTTTTCACCATATGGACATCTTTTGAGTTTCTATTTTTTATTTTTTATTCTGCTTCTATTTTTTTTATAACAGCAAATTCCCTTCCTTTTACACTTTCTTATTTATAGTGACCTTCAATCAATTTATTAGTTCTGCTTTATATACATTTGTATTAATTATGTCTTACAAAATCTTTTTAGCAATCAATTTATAGTTTTCTTATATATATATATATATATGTGTGTGTGTGTGTGTTTCTTTCCAAATATGTTTTATATTATGATAATTTGTCTTGATTATATGTTAAAAGTTATTACTACTAAAATTTTGATCATCACGCCTTATGACACTTGCCCTTTCTTAAGGAAATTATTGCTCTTGCTCCAATATATGCATTGGTTTATTAGACTATATATTGGTCTCAAAATTAATTTTAGATTCAATTTTTATTATGTTCTGCTCACCGTTAATTTGTATTTTTATTTTTTTATAGCAGGAGGGAAGGATGGGATTTAAGAAGTCGGGAGGGGGAAGGGAGATTAAAAGCCAAAATCTCTAAATTATGGAGTATTAACCTCAGCATCTAGACCAAGGCCTCCTCGGCCATCATTAATTTGGTTAATTACCTTTACTTTATATTAAATGTTCACAAAATTTTGTTTAGTGCACCTATCTAATTCTCATTTTATTTCATATTTTTATTACATATCCTTTTCAAAATTTGGCTCATTTTAAGTTTTACTTATAGTATATCATTTTTTCCATTCCCAAACCACTTTTGAATAGATAATCAAAACAATAGTTCATCTATATAAATAAACATTTGAATTTTCAAAATTTGTGTTACAATATTTAATTGTGTTGCTGAATGCAAAATGATATTCTTAGCCTAAATTTTTGCATTAATTAGTAAATATGAAACTTAAATAAAGAATTTGATTCTAAAATGTTAGTATCTTATCTGAATTCAGCACAACATTCAATCTGAGCTCTTACAGATTATAAACCACAACTAAAAGTTTTTCACCAAATCCTCCAAATGAAAAAGAAGAGTTTTGCCAATTATTCGTTTTCTAAAACTCTAGAAGATAAAATTAGTCTAAAGAAAGATAATATATTCAAAAATACAACTTCATGTACTCTTAAACCTGTGGTGAAAGATGATTAACAAATGAAAGTAGTCTGGAAAATTGAATATTCGGAAAACACATTCAAAACTAAAAAACAACTTCTTCCAAAAAAAGAAAGGAAGTCTAATAAAAAAAATTTGATGCTGATGGAATATCATATTTCCTTTAACCATTTGGGGTTCGTATTATTCCAGTCTAGTGGCCTACATAATTTAAGATTATCTCTTAATATCCAATCCTTTTCTTCATGTTTTGTCCGTTCTTCAATTTTGTCCACTTCAACCCACCCATTATACTGTTAAAAAAAATGAAATTCCCATGTCAGTTTCACACTAAAAGACAACTATAAGTCCAATACAGCCACCCAATGCCACGTGTTTTTTAAGATAATTATTAATCAAATATCTTTATTTCTTAAAGCAAATTATTGATCAAATGCTTCATTTCTGCTCTGTCTTTGCTCCTGTAATTAACTTGGAAGAGTATGACCACCAACTTTTCTTTTTTATCTTAATTAAATAGACATTATACAATTACCCTTTACGGCTATACTGGATTAATCTTATATACACTGTCAGTGTATGCACTATCACTATTAAATATAACACATGTGTAAAATTTGAATTTGAATTTAAAATTTGATCATGTGTCATCCATCTAACTGTGATAGTGTATACACTGACAGTGTATATAAAATTTACTCTAAATTAATTACCTGGATTTTCTCATAATCTACCAAAGATTTTAGACAATATTTTCTCGGAATTCTACTCTTTTTTATTAGGCAAATGAAGAGAACGAAATCAATTACCTAGATTTTCTAACTCGTTGTTAAACTTAATTTTCACCTATGTGATTCACAGTCATTGTATCCTATAATAGTTTTTGGATTTCACTTTAATTTTTCAAAAGACCAACACCCCAGAAAAGTCACCCTTTCTCACATCCTTAATTTTGTGGTGTAACTATTAACGATACTTCCATAATTCAATTAACTGAGGCCATGACAGATATTATAATAGTATGTGACAATAAAATACTCACTCAGGTTGTAAAATACTTTATCTATAACTATAAGTCACATGTTCGAGTCATTAAGAAAGTGATTAGAAAATTCTAATCATTTCTTTAAAAATTTTTTTAAAAACACTAATATGATAGTATGTTGGTCAAAACCTAAGTTAGACGCGTTATTGGTTCAAGTCATCAAGAGATATGTAAAAACCTTACTTATCCCTACAAAAAAGAAAAAGTATAATAGTATGTTGACCAAAACCAAAGTTAAACACGTCATCAATTATTTTGTAAAGTAGATGATATCGTTTCCTATTAAACAAATTACTTGGACAAGTTGGACAGAGGATATCAAGCCTTGTGATTACAACTTTATAATGTTCTCTAGCTCACCTTATTGTTAATGTTATATATGTGGTATCTTTTTCCTTTAATTTATTTTTTATTCTTTTATTTCCTGCATCACTGCCCTATATATATATATGGTATCTTGACTTTGCTAAAATTGATATTCCAAGCCTGGCAGTCTAGCTAGTAGCATAGTAGCTATCATGGGTACACTTTCAGAAGCATACAAAGATGTTCCTATGCGTCTCAAACATGTTATTCCTCTGGATTTTGAGTCCACAAAAGTGGTTCCAGAATCACACATATGGCCAGAAACAGAAAATTTTCCATTATCTGATCATATTCTCCCCTCTGATGATAATGAAAAATCAAAATCATGGATCCCTGTCATTGATCTCATGGCTCCCAATGTAGTGGAACTCATTGGCCATGCATGTGAAACATGGGGAGTTTTTCAACTCACCAACCATGGTATTCCCTCCAGCCTTATTCATGATGTTGAGTTCCAGGCTAGAAGACTCTTTTCTCTTCCAACCGAGCAAAAGCTGAAGGTCTTACGATCGGCCGGCGGAGCCACCGGCTACGGTGCTGCCCGGATGGCACAGTTTTTGACCAAATATTTGTGGCATGAAGGGTTCACTCTTGCAGGTTCTCCTGTTGAGCACGCTAGTGTACTTTGGCCCCATGACCACAAAACTTTTTGGTAAGTCCGTTTATTTGGTAGTATTTGGTAATTGTCCATGCGCTTTCATGCACGTTGACAAACTGACAAATTTGTACTGCCCACTTAAATGAAAATTAAGGTTGTACTGGAATTTATTTCATTCCTCTCAATTGATTTTTTTTTTTTTGAGGTTCAATACATTATTTCCCTTGATTTTTCATCCATCTCCGTTTTTATCAAAATCAACTCAAAAGATGAATAAAAAAAAATCCTAATCCCCTTGTCTTAACTCTTTTCCCTTCTAAGCGTATTAAAACTGCATCCTCACGCTTGCTGACTTTAAGTTGCGCTTTTTTTTTTTGGTTTGGGGGCATAGTTTTGGATAAAATGATTAAGTTTAAGAGTTAGGGAACGCTTTAAGTAGTTTAAATACTAAACTGCAAGTATGCAAAATCCAAGGAATTGAGTCGTTCAAAATAATTTCGCTAAAGACATTAGATTAGACACATAAATGAAATTTAATTCAACTATAGTACTATTAGATTACTGTGTAAGCGAAAATGATTGCGTTTTAATTAATCATTATTTCCTGCTTATGTATACATTTAGTGATGTGATGGAAAATTATCAAAAGATGATGAAGTCCTTGGCACACCAACTCTTGCTCCTAATGTTGAAGTGGCTAGAAGTCTCTGAAGATGAACTGAACTGGAAACTATCAATGTCCCAAGATGCATTGCAACTCAATTCCTTTCCAGCCTGCCCAGATCCCAAAAGTACCATTGGTTTAGCCCCTCACACAGATTCAATGCTCATGACCGTTCTTCATCAAAGTCATGAGGGTTTGCAGATTTTTCGTGACGGAATCGGATGGGTGACAGTTTCACCCATTGAAGGAGCTCTTGTGGTCAATCTTGGTAATCTTATGGATATATTGTCTAATGGCAAGTTCCCTAGCATTCAGCATCGTGTTTTTGTCAACCAGATTAGGCACAGGATTTCTGTTGCCTACTTCTGCTTTCCTCCAACTGATTCCCAGGTTGCACCATTTGCTAAGTCTGAATGTCCCATTTATAGTTCTTTAACAGTGAAGGAATATCTTCAAATCAGGGCCAAGCATATGGAGGATGCACTTTCTGTGATCAGAATAAAATGATATCATATACCCAATCCTGAAACATGTGTAATCTGTTTTATTCGTTTGGTAAAAAACCTAGTGAACTCCTGATAGCTTTCTGCCATGCTAGACGATCCTAGTAAACAGTGGCGGAGTCAGGACCTATAACCAGTGGAGGCAATATTGTACACACAAATTGCTGTCACTAGTATGAAAAAAAAATTGAATAAAGATTATGTTTTTATTATGAGTTTTTTTTTTTGTGTAGTGTAAAAGTATTGAAATAATTTCCTATTTAAGTAATAATCAATTTTGTGATTTAATAACTTTTAAACATTTGTACCACAGAAGAGATATCTAAAATAAATAGATTGCTTAGGGATGTAATGTGAGGCAAATGAGAACTTCTCATAATATAGAGGATAGTGTTAGAAGAAAAGAGTGTTTTTTAAAATTAAGAGGAAGCAAGTATTAGTAAAAATTAAAAATTTTATAAAGTTTCAAGACTATTCTCTAAATTTTCAAAAGTTAAGGTGGGGCAATTAATTGCTCACCCTCAATATTATAAAGTTTTTATCTTGTAAAGCAATTCAGATTATGGTCTACTCAATAACTTCAATTCTTTTTCAATAAAAAGCTTAAACAATTCACCATACCAGTTCTACCAAATTTGCCCGTTTCACTGCCTTTTCTACGTTTTTTCAAAGAACCAATCTTGTCCTCTTTTCAAAAGAATCATAATCATGAACTTCAGCACAAAAATAGAGCAAGTAAAATATGCTACCAAGAACACAACAATTTTCGAAAAATTAAATACACCATTGAAGTTATTAAAAAAACAAAACACTTATTTAATCTAGACTCTAGAGAATATATGCCAGCTACAAATTCATCGTTGGAGAATCTCTTCAAAGCTTCAGCTAGCTCTCTGGTGCTGCTGCATGTGGATTGAGTATACATTAGCTTGAATTTAATAACTAAAAAGGTACTTTTAAGCCGAATTTCACTCATGTCTAATCACGCATAATACGTCCAAAACAAACAAATTCGCCTATTTTCTTAGTGTCTTTTATCGGCATTAGGAGACCAGAATATTGGAGTTTGCATTAGGCAGCTGTTTTGGACCTCGAAGATGAAAAGTATGACATGTATTCTTATGGTTAAATTGTGTAATTAGTGTAAACCACAATTCTTGATACAAGTCTCTGTATATATCAGAAAACAGTTTTAACATACAGTAAGTGGAAACCACAGTTTATCCTACCCCCATACATAGCTCGGACTGTTAATTCACCTGGTGTACATGAGAGAAAAGACGTATTGTCAGCTAAATTTAAGTACCAATTTGTCAATTTTCTGCTGTCTTGACTTTTTTTTTTTTTTTTTTTTCCTCACACCCTTCTTATTTTCAATTATCACGTACAGAATTTATATCCTGAAACTGATAGCGGGAAAGACTCTAAAAGCTCTTCCCTGTACCGACCCAATGGTTTATTATCTTGATATGAAAAAAGGTCAAGTTCGAGTTTCACCAAAATCATTTTGCATTTTCATTTCTTGTGGCTTTCTTATTATTTGTAGGTAATACGGCCACTAGTTAATTTGAACACATCTTTGGATGGAATTGAATTACTATTATTATTATTATCTTTTTTAGTTTAAAACAAAAGAAAGCCCTCATGATTAATCGTGCAGAGTTAATAGGGTCAGAGAAATAATTTGCGCATAGAGAAACTTGGCGTATTTTTAAGTACTACTAATAGGTTACGCATCAAAGGAGACTTTTTTTTTTTTTTTTTTGGGCAAAAGGTAGTAGACTTTTTTGTCAGAGTTTGGCTAAACTCCATTTTACGCATCAAAGAAGACTCTTTACGCATCAATACAACGGCCTGCCAAATAGTTTGGCTAAATTACATTTTAGTCTCTTAAACTATAGTCACCTCCCACTTTAGTTCTTAAAGTTCATTCTTGGACTCTTTACCTCTAATAGAGTTTCAAATTTGCCCTACTTCAATCGAACATTTACACAATTTTCAAAACTAGTGGAATAGTTTATTCTACGTCAAGCGTCACTTGCCTAATATTACATTATTTTTAACGATTCTACTAATAAATGTTTCAAAGTGGGATAAATTTGATACTTTATAGGATACAGTATTTAAAATTTAAGGACTAACGTGGGAGCATATCTACGTTTTAAGGGTCCAAAGTTTTTTTTTTTTTTTTTTGGTTTCTGAAGTGAAAGTTACTTAAAGAGTTTGGCAATTTTCTTTAGTACCAAAGGCTAGAATAAAGTTTGAAATCGCAAAACGAAGGCAAGGGAAAATTTTGACTACAGCGAAAGGAACTCTCCATCACAAATAAAACTAGCTTAAAACAAGTTAAATTAATCTGCAAAGTTCAATTCACAAACTCTAACTCTTTTTCTTCTTCTTTTGGTTGATTTATGAGATACTCCAAGATTTTCAAGCCAATACGAGAAAGGACAGGGTTTGATAATGACACCAAAAATTTCATAACTATTTGAGTAATGTCTCTAAAAACTCTTAACACATTGATAACGAAACAAAAAATTTTCATGATTATTTTTTAAATAGTGAACCTATTGAACTTCCAAATTGTAGTTCCAGATCATTTTTTTTTAATTTATTTTGATGTTAAATGATATGGATAATACATGACCATTAAAGAAAATACTGGAAGTTGGTTCAATCCTTTCAACTTCTGGGTCTAATATGAAATCGTACGGTGCCATGATCGATTCGCTGCCCAACTATTCAAAGTTGCCAATCTGTTTTCAAAACATTGGCTGCAAGAATCCATAAATAACGACAATGGCTAATGAAGACGCCAACCTTTCATGTTGCATCCAATCTATCATTGCGTGAAATCTTTTTTTTTTTTATATTTTATACTATATTATTTTGGGTTTTTTGTATTTTTTGTATTTTTAATATTGTACCAGCATGCTCCACATGATTTTAGCTAATAAAGATTGAAGGGATGCAAACAAATGTCAATATCATTGCACCACCAATCTGTAATTGTCTACATCAAGGAACTATTAAAGATGATGATACAAAGCCTAACCTCTAGAGATAACGCTTTAGGAATTTTTTTAACTCTAGCAGATGGTACAAAATTACTTTTCAAAGAGAACCTTCTTCCATCTAGAGACGATGCTCGTTTATTCAGTATTGAACCATCCATCGCAGTCATATCAATTTTATTCAATTATTCAGTAATTTCTTTTGATTATCAACTTGTTCTACCTGATCTTACTATTAGTGTTTTTTTTATGGATCGTCATTTTTTAGCACGGTTTTGTCGGTAAAAATAATCAAATGGATTCATTGTGTAGAAGCGTGCTCCACAAGAATTGGCACCATAATAAATAGAAATTTGGATGTAAGCAAATGTCAATATCGTTGCACCTCTAATCAGTTTTGTCTACATCAACAAGATTATTAAAGATAACAGAAGCTTTGGATGATGATGATAAATTAAGGATAGTTAATTGCACAAAAACTACGAAAAATAAAGTAAATTGAACATAAAATTAATTCAACTGGAAACAGACCTTTCCTACAGATAACCATTTGCATATATCCAACCGAAGACATGAAAGTAGCAGTAGCCTCATATGAAGCTAAAAAGAAACCAATCATGAACCGCCTACCACAATATCAACTGTAATGTTTTCTTGTTCTTTTTTTTTTTTTTTTTTAAAAAAAAATCTGATTAAACTATCGTTGTTACATCAGTTAGTTTTCTTTAGGGTAAATTATACCAACCTCCCACCAATTCTGCTAAAAAACTAAAAACCCCCTACTTAATTTAAAAATAATAGAAACCTTCCCCTAGTTTGTTAGACAAAATCATAAACCACCCCTTTTGTTAACTTTCTATTGGAGTCGATACACATTCAGCAAATATCTCCATATATTTCCTAAAATGGCCTTTTTGTGGATAGCACGATAAGAAATACTTACATTTTATCTTTAACAAATATTTTGAATTATCAGTTGCATTTTATCTTGAGTGTTGAGTGAAATTAGACCAAAACATATAAATTTATGTTTAAGCAAATACATGTAGATTTATGTAAGAAGCGCTGCACAAAATTTACCCATGCCACCTCCTCTTAGATAATATCAGTTGTAGAAAAGTTCTGCTAGAATAATTATAAGCAACCAATTGTTTGTTGGCTATGAAATGGGGCAAGGAGGTTTGTCTTTGATTTATTGTCTTTAGTGTTGTCTGTTGTACTTTGAAATGGTCTTTTTCCGTTTGTAAAATTTGTTTCTATTAATAAAAGTGATACGAAGTTGTTGAAAAAAAAAAAAAAAAAATTATAAGCAACCAATTGTTCCAATTAATTAGAGGAAAGTTTTGTATTAGTTCATCGTATTTTAGCCTTGCTAACTATCATGGTCTACTATGTCTCATGTTCGGCGATGCCTTTCCCATACAATAATCAACTATTATGCAAGTCAGGTTCTACAATGTGCTACAAAGAATGAGAGGCATGGATGTTTTAAGAAACTGAAAAATAGGAAAGATAGCCAAAGGCCCAAAGAAAAAAGTAATAAAGAAGAACTAAGGAATTTAGAAAATGAAACAAAGAGAAAAATAAAACCAAGAGTAAATTTGTCCACTTGCATTTATCAGTAACGATTATGGATGAAGAACACATGGAAGGAAGGTCTTTACTATTATGAAATTAAGAGAGGAGATTCCTAACTTTTTTAAAAAGAGAAGGGTTAAATCCACATTCCTCTGCTATATCCACACCCTATACATTTGTTAGACATTGATACCCTTAGCTTTTAAAAATCAAATTAAAACTTTATATAATAATATCTTTTCTAGAGCAAAAAATTCACACCATGATCTTTATGTAAGTTTTATATACAAATTCATTTTTCTTGCTTGTTTCATTTCAAAATTTATCTTTCTCTAAAGTTGCTTTAATTTTGTTCCTCTTTCCTATTATATATGATTTACTACCTTTCTTTTGTTAAACCTTTTTTTTTTTAACATTTACACATAACCAAATGATAGATATTAGTATGTAGTCAATATGAAGGCATATTCCACCTTGAAAATTGCTTAGATTTTGATTTTATCGAATTGAAATATGTAGACATTGCTATTTACATCATTATTAGTAATTGAAAATTTTTGATAG